TTGGGCTGGCCCCTCTCTCTCTGCAGACACAAAAGCTGCAAAAACCAAAGGGAATTTGCTAGCAAAACTATATCTTCTTCCCTTCTTGCCTGAAGGATAAGAAACCTGTTAGACGTCAGGTAGATGATCATCTAAACAGATACGTGACCAGGAATTTGGGGGCAGCTATTTTAAGCTGCCACCATCACTAAGCTCCGCCCAGGAAGTCCCTAAGTCATTGTCTTCTTTGCTGGTCTGGAACACTGTTGCTCCTAAAACTGGCTTAATCGATGAGGTCGTGAAATGTTCTTGGCATGGTTTCAAGTGGGATGTTCTCCCACTACTGAGAGTGGAAGTTGTGAAGATATTCGCCTGGGTTGAGACCTGCAGGCAATCAACACACACTGTTCCGAAGATGATCCAACCGAGTCTTGTTTTCTGGGCGAATGGGGCACCCATTGGGCCCTCGACCACTGCCTGTGGAGTGAAGGCTGCACAGGTGTCTGCTCCCAGCAATAGCATGATTTCGGCTTCGGGATCCAGGGCAGTAAAGTGATTAGCCATATGTCTGAGGTGCGGTATGGCGTTTGCTAACTCTGGTGTCGCAATCTGACTGCTATCATCTGGTAGATCATCCCACTCTGTGATTGCTGGTAGTGGGAACTGCACACTCCCATCTAACGCTTCTATGCAGAGTCCATCGACTTTCCTCCCCACCGTGCGCTGGGATCCGGTGCACGTTGATATAGTGAATTCCGTCTGTTCGCTTTGGATGTCAAAGAGATCGAAGAATGCTGACCTAGCTAGCGATTTATTGCTTTGTGTGTCTAGGATTACATACACCTTCACAGCTTCTTCTGGGCACATAGCAGGACAGACTTTGGCTAGGCAGATTTGGTGGCATGTGCAAGGTGATGGAAAGCCACCACATACTGAGGTGCATCAGACGCCTACGTCTGAGATAGTTTCCGGGTGCGCTTTGGCATCGTGTGGAATCTCTTTGTCTGGAGGAGGGTCACCCGTTGGACAATGCATTATCTCGGAGTTTGGGTGTAGGGCGCCAGGGTGCCTGCTACTCTTGCAAAGATGACATTGCACCTTGGCTGTACATGCTTTGGCTATGTGTTCTGCAGAATCACAACATTTATAGCAGAGTTTGTACTCCCTAATTAGAGCTTTCCTTTCCTCCATAGGGTTCTTTCCAAATTCTCTACACTTGTTGAAAGGGTGGGAAGACTCGTGGAATGGACAGAATGGGTCTTTGTTTGTTGTTGAGGGTTTAACTATAATTTTCCTTGATGGTCGCACATTGGAATCGTTCCTGGCAGAGTTGGAGATTTGTGTTTTGTGTACAGAAGCAAAGTTTTTTTCCCTTGTGGTCTCTTGATTGCAGCAGCATTATGGGCAGCCCTTTTGGTGATTGTGGAGTAGTCATCCCAATGACCTAGGTTTCGAGGGTTGGTGCATTGCTCTAACTGATCAGCAACAAATTCTTGGAGTGTAGTAAAGGGAGGATCATTGCATTGATTGTTCTTCCTGTAAGCGTCACGCAGATCGGTCCATCGATCGTTGAACCATCTTGATAGTTTTCTGATGATAGTGTTCTGTGTGCTGTACTCATCAAGGCATGTCAATACCTTGGTTTTGGGGTCTTCTTTAGCAGCCCGTAGTTCCAAGAGAAGGGCAGAAAACTTCCATAACTCCTCGGGATCATTTGGACTAATATTGGGGTACTCGATGACCTGTTTCAAGAGTGAGGACTCCATGAGCATGGACGTGCCAAACTGTCGATCGAGTACCTTCCATGCTTGTTTGCAGGCTTTGACTGGATCCTTCAGGTAAGTGTGGTAGATTCCTGTGACTATTAGTTTAGACTTTGGGCCTAACCAAGCTTTCATAAGTACAATCTCGTCCTCAGGCTCTATCTTCTCAGCTGGCAAGGTTGCCAATCTGCTCCAGGGTGGTATGCCAGGGGAATCAGTAATGTGTGCCCTGCAGCTTTGGGTGGATCAGGACCAGTGGTATCCTGTTGGTTCGAACAGGTGCGGTCTATAGGAGTGGGCATGGTGGCTGAGAATGGCTGGTGTTTCTCTTCCGAAAGGTTCTGTGCAACTTCATATTGCCACTGTGTAGCCAAAGGTTGTTTTCGTTGTTGCTTTGCAGGTTGACTGTGTTTATAATTCTGTTCGTTCCTGTTCAAGTTGCCTTGAAGTATTGGCTGGAATTCTTTTGCCTTGACGCTGAGGTTGCTACTTGCGACTATTTGTGTCTCTGCTGGCTGAGGATTGTTTGACGTCGCTGGGCCATGGTTGAGATTGCCTCGTGTGTCTGGGTTCGTCGGCTTAGGCTCTCCAGTTCTAAGGGAAGGATCGAGTGATGCAGATTGTATGAAATCAACTGTCTCGTTAGCTTGTGGGTTTGTTGATTGTTCCTGTTGTATTATGTGTTGGCCGTTTACGTAGGCTTCGACACATGCATCTGGGTTCTCTGCTTCTAACTTCCTAGGATCGAAGTTGAGGAAGGCACCACCAGCCTCAGCCTGTAGAACTTTCGCCCGTATTAGTCTTTCTTTCGCTTTCCGCTTGCGTTGAAGGTATTCCAGTTGAGCCTGAACTTTAGCAGCTGCAGCTGCCTTTTCTGCTTCCATGGTTGCTAACTCTACCTGAGCTTTGGTTTCTGCAGCTGCCTTCTCTGCCTGAGCTTTGGCTTCAGCAGCTGCCTTCTCTGCCTGAGCTTTGACTTCTGCAGCTGCCTTCTCTGCCTGAGCTTTGGCTGCTGCAGCTGCCTTCCCTGCTTCCATGGTTGCCAACTTTTCCTTCAGCAGTTGCTTTTCTTTTGCTGTCTCTAGTTCTATCTCTGCCATCTCAGCTTCTATTAGTGCTTCTCCAGCTGTAGATATCCGTGACCTTTGGCTGTAATGGGAAGATTGCTGCGAGACGCTGCTACCTGCTTTTGATCGGAAAGATGAGGCCTTTCTGGAGACGTGGGAGGAAGCTTCGTGTGACTGTTGAGATGTTGTGTGTGAACGATGAGACCCCACAGATGCGGCCTTCTCTCCCTGTGTAACTTTTGGACTAGATGAGGATGTCCTCTTAGAAGCGTGAGAGGGGGCTGCATGTGACCACTGAGATGGTGCTTGCGAACGACGAGACACTTCGGATCCGGCATTTGTTTCTGATGTGTCCTTGGGATTGGATGAGGATGCTTTCTTGGAAGCATGAGAGGGAGCTACATATGACTGTCGAGATGCTTCAGACTCAGCCTTCTTGTCCGGGGCTGTCTCCCTCTTCAGATTGGATTGTATAAGGTCTTTGTTGCGTCGGAACTGCTTTTTACGTTCTTTGTTTAACATCTGGATGTGCAGCATTTCCTTCTGGAGTTCTTTATCATCATTTAGTTGTAACTGGATGTCATTGAGGCGGTCTCCATAAGATGTCCATAGCTTGTAGATTTCGTCCATATCTTTACTCAATGAACGGAGGCGTTTGGGGGGGGGGGGTAGATCAATCTTCCTTACTCAAATTTTGTTTGCATGAAGATTTTTCCATGAGGCATTTACTACATGAAAGAATTTCTCTCCTTGCTGGGTTGGGGAAGAAAGGGGGGTTGCTTTATCATGTGATTCCTGGGTTCCTTTTAACACACTTTCTTAATCACAACAAAGTCTTTCATCTCAGGAGAGATAATTAGGCTTTCTCACTGAAACGGGATGTTTCTCTTTGCTCCAAAAGGGGGTGGGGAAATCCTGGCAGCTTTTCTCAGTTAAAGGCAAACGGAGTTTGGGATTCCACTTCAACATCTTATTTACTCAGGAGCTTCTGGATGGGGGCAAATCATACATCATCTTTTTACCCGAGGGGAGTGAAAACATCACCATCTTTTTACTCGATGGGAGTGAAAACAGCATCATCTTTTTACTGTTCTGCCCCGGGCAATGAGGTTCTGCTCGGGCAGCCAGTTAACTCCACGTTTAGGAATCTCTTTCAGACCACATTTATTATCAGGCATCCTTAATAACAAAACTTACAGTTCAGTGTTGAGATTCTTCTGATTTTCCATGATCTGTCCCATCACATAGTGTAAAAAGGTGATGATTTTATCCCCATGCTGAGTGGAGATGTAGAAAGCTACTATTCCGGTTCACAAAAGCAATTGAACTGGCTATAAACTTTGCATGTGGGCAAGATGCCCCAGTGGCCAATCAGAAACAGAGATGTGATCACATGTCATGGAACTACATTTCCCATAAGGCAGTCTCTGCCTGCATTTCCCATGAGGTAGTTTCTTAAACGAGACAGTTCTTAATTCCTACACTAGCTATATACTGCTGGGGCAGCACAGTGTGAGAAAAATAAATCTCTATCTCTTAAAGGAACAACAAAGCTAGGAGATCATGAACAATAAAAAGCATTTATTTAAGATAAGCTTTTGCAAAAGGATTCTCAATCATGAAAGATAGAAAGAGAATGTCTGACAGGTTCAGGTACAGTGTTTAAATACAGTTTTTGGGTAAAAGTTCATATCCTTAAATATCTGTGTTACATAAAGTCGTGTTACACAATACGTATTATACAATATCTTGGCAACCAGTTAAACAATTTCCAGCCGAAAAATCTTGCAGAATCGCTTCCCACCATATTAGGAATCTATAAGCAAAATCAATCCTCTTATGTCAGCCTCTTGAAACTGACACCAGCACATTTCCATTAGGCCTCAATTTGACCCGGCCTGTTCTTCCTCAGGCAACCTCCCAGCTCCGGTATTCCTAAATGTTCCTTCTATATATGGTATTGACTGAATGTGTTACAAGAGTAATTATGAGACTGCTGACTTTTGCTTTTTAATATTTAACTAGAGTGTAAAATTGACTCTGTCATGTTCTTGCTTTTTTACACGAATAACCTTATTTCTCTCAATCCAACCTCTTCCCTTTTGACAGACTTATTCCTGTAAATGATCAGGTATCTCTTGCAACTCCTGTCTACTCAGTTGTTTTTCACTGTGTTCCTTCTTACAATTAGACCCCCGAAAACAGAACATACAGCACTTACTACACTTGCAGCATATAGGTGCACATCTGATACAAATACAGGTGATTAAGCATACAACTGTAATGATGATGATCCCAACAAACAGATCCTTCAGCCGATTCAACAGGAAGTTACTGTGCCAGAGAGGGGGTGGCTGATCCGGGATGGCACTGAAGAGACCTTGCTTGCCTTGCTTGCCGTCGCAGCCGCGTTCCTCCTAGGTGCCCCCCCCCCCCATCGCTTTATCAGCTTGCGTCGTTTCAGACATCTTCTGGCTTTTTCCGGACATCTTCTGGCTTTGTTTTTCGCGATTGAGAGGAGCCTGGAGGAGCCCTTGGACTTATATCAGTTTGTTTTGCTTCCGGCAGTGTTAACGAGGCCGGCGCCTTACAACTCTATTCCCTGGTCGGGAGACCCAGCAGAGCCACTCTGGACTGGACTGAGCAGGGGACTATCGTGCCAGGGAGGGGGTAGCTGCCTCGGATGGCACCAAAGGGGACCGTTCGGCAGGCTTTGTTGTCGCCGTTACAGCCCCCCCCCCAGGCGCCCCACCTCTCCTGTATCACTTCAACGGCTTGTGGTGACCCTGCCGGTCTTGTTCCGGCTTTCTATTTACTTTTACGAGACTGGAAGGAGCCCGTAGATTTGCACCAGCCTATCATCAGCATTGGGGAGTGGGGCGGCTGACTTACGCGGGTTGGATGGCGACCTTGGACGGAAGGGGGCAGCGGATTTTTCTTGGTGTCTTTGCGACCATCCTCCCCGGCCCTATTCGATCAGAGCCTCTTTGCAGTGCAACCCTCCCCTGCTTTCTCCTGCGATTACGGAGTCTCCTTCCCTCTTTCACCATCTTTACCATCTGGCTCCTTTTGTTTACTTTGTTTACGAACTTGGACTTGGACTCTCGGACCTCCAGAGCTACGCCCTTGCTCCTTTTGTTGCGACTACGGCTGCCCACCGCTGCCCCAAGAATATTATTCCAACTATCAGGGACATTACTCCATCTGCCCCCTATTCCTCAATCGCCCACCCAACACGGCTTTCCTCTGGACCTTGACTTTGGGTGCTTTTCAGGACTTGAGGAAGGGAGAGGGGCGGAGCAGCTCTCCCTTCTCCTTCCGCACCATTGACGATCTTAACTGTACTTGCGCAGTGCTCCGCACATTTTAGGAATGCAGTGTGAATGGTGTGCCTGGCTGATGTTTGTACCCACCCTTTTTAACTTCATATTGTTGTATTTTTTGTGTTTAATTAGCTTATGTGGGGATTGCATGGATGAGTGGCTGTGTATGTATGTGAGGACTGAGAGTACAGCCTGGTGCCTCCTCCACTGAGTGCTATTGCAGAAGTGGTAGNCTGAAGTAGCCTGCAGTGCTGCATTTAACCACTGCGCCACCTCGGCTCCATATGCACCATATTGGAACTTCAACCATAACTTTCTCTTTACAGGTAGAGGACTTCTAAAACTAATGCAATGCAGTAGAGTGCTATACAACGTACACAGAAAGACAGGAAACTATATATATTGTAAATAAATTTAAAGATAAAAATGTAATTACAAGACATCTGATTCCAATTCTAAAATGAGATGAAGAAGTCAGCAAGTAGAGGTGAGAATACCTTGTATTGTTGTTGCTAAAGTACACCAAACAGAGCAATATGGCCCCCGCATATGCGTGCTAGTCATTTTCAACTCTAGGGGGCGGTGCTCATCTCCGTTTCTAAGCTAAAGAGCCAGCGCTGTCCGAAGACATCTTAGTTTTCATGCGGCCGGCATGACTAAATGCCGAAGGCGCATGGAACACTGTTCCCTTCCCACCAAGGTGGTCCTTATTTTTCTACTTGCATTTTTTGCGTGCTTTCAAACTGCTAGGTTGGCAGAAGCTGAGCGAAGTAACGATAGCTCACTCCATTATGAGGCACTAGGGATTCGAACCACTGAACTGCCATACTTCTGATAGACAAGCTCAGCATCTTAGCCACGGAGTACTCACAATCTATTTTCACCTTTGCATGTTAGCTGGAGATGGAGACCTTATCTATGAGCAGAGCCCATTATGTAAGATTTAAGAGTGGATGTAACAGAGCCAACAGACAGTAAAATATCATCATTGCCCAATCTTCTGCCATCCCAACTTTCCCGAAGTGTGCGTGTATCCCTCCCTTTTTCTCTTTGACAAACTAGTTGGTTGGTTTAGTGCTTGGTTGGTTAGTTAGTTTTTATGCCACTCATCTCCCCTACAAGGTAACTCAGGGAATCTTACAGGTTACAAAGCAAGTAAAAACTAGTTTGTAGAAGATGATTAGATTGAGCCCGAGGGAGGAGTCAAATGCATCAGTCACAAGTCTCTTCATGCTCACAAGAGATCGAAGTCCATCCCACCTTCCTTATCTACTGCCAATTTCCTTTGGTTGTTAGTAGTTCAGGTTCTTGTAGAGAGCTTCAGCTTGCAATAAATCTTTATACTCACTTGAACTGCCTGGATCTCCTGATTTTCCCTGGTGCTTGACAATTAAAAGATTAAAAGATTAAAATTGATTGATTTGATTTAATAAATTTATAGGCCGCCCATGAAGAGTTAAAAACAAACGGAGGAAAACAGAAAGCACATCATGTACCCAGTCTAATTGGGGCTGGACCTTGGTCAAGGGGTCAACAGCCCGGGGCCTGCCGGAATAGCTAGATCTTGATAGCCTTTCGGAAGGCCATGAGCGTGGGTAGGGTCCAGATCTCAGGAGGTAGTTCATTCCATAGGGTCGGAGCTGCTACAGAGAAGGCCCTCCCCTGGGGAGCCACCAGCCGACATTGTCTGGCTGACGGCACCTGGAGAAGGCACAGATTAAAATATTATTAAAAACTACTAAAAACTAAATTTACCCAAATACTTTCATATTTCATATTCTTTCCGCGTTTGCCATCTACAGTTCTTGACCGTCTTTATTTAGGTGAGCTTCAAGTGAACCAAGCCTCTCTATTTTGCAGCCTCTAGTGCTCCTCAATATTCTAATCCCAAATTAACTGTCATTGAATCTCACTTTAATCTTTCTGATCAAAGCCTCTATTGCAATCAATTATATCAAGCACCATTGGGAATAGGATGACCATGTGACTTTACGAGAGCCAGTAGCATAAAAGATCTCAGGATGCGATGGCTCAGTGGCTAAGACACTGAGCTTGTCGATTAGA